CCTTTTTATAGAACAGATTTATGTATTTCTTCGATTAAAACGATTTTGATCCAGAGAACGATTTTCGTTGTTGCTCGAGAGGGTCGAATGTAAAGGAAGGAAGCGGAAAGTATCTTGCGAGGCAAGGTGTTCCAAGATGCTCGTGTTCCTCTTTATTTAACGGCGGTGTTGTCCGTATTACGCTGACGGGGTAAAATGCGAAGGCGATGTAACGACCGGTGACAGTTATGATCTTTACTGCACATGGTTCAGCACTTAACGCGTGATTTACCTCCATTGACGTTGTGTCGGCCTCTCGTTTCGTGGTTTTCCCGTAAATCGGTGGCTTTAACTGTACACCGAATAGACAACGACAGATTTATGGGGCGATAAAAGTTGAAATTTGCATAAAACCGAAACAGTGTCACTTTCTACTCTAATTTGTACCTTTTTATTTTTAACTCCGCGCGTTCCGGATGCGCCGATTTCTCATTTCCCCGTTGAAAATTCGCGTCGGGACGCGCTGGTCCACCGGCTCGACGTCTGTTGACTCTCGCACGGCAAACGTTTACCGTGTACAGCGTTCCCAGATAGAAACGCGTTAGATTCTGGCCACGCATGAGAGAAGCGTGTGCAAACAAACAGGCCAGCGAGTAAAATCGTCGAAAGCTAATCGAGGGGATCGATCTTTGCGTCTTAGTTGCTCGCAGAAATCTTAATCAAACACCGAGCACCGTTGACAATAATGAATGTAAAGTTGCATCGGTCCTCGTTCCCAGCCATAAATCTCTTTCGAGGAGACTAACGCGTCCGAACGGGAAACGGAGAAAGGTTTGGGAGATTTAATAAACGAGCTTTATTTCGTTGCACTCTCGAACCGTTGCATCGCGTTGTTCCGAGACCGGGCCGGGTTCCTGGGAGTAATTCGGAAAAAGATCTTCTCAAAGTTTACTGGATAACGAATTAAGCGCGCGGGGCGCGGAGTTCCCGGCGTGTTCTCTGAAACGCGAATAGCAGTTCTCTGGAACAACATTAATCAACGTTACTTTGACCGGAACCCACTTAAAGCGCCTGTTCCTGGAAATTCCCTTCGGAAATCCGGCCGTGGATTTCCTGCGATCAAGCAAATTATTTCCTACCTCCGGCTTCGAAATGTTGTATGCGTCAACGGTATGAATAGAATCTATTAATCCGCTTTAATAACATTACCCCTCCGAAGGAATTCGATAGGGCCAGCTTAGGAGAGACTCTGATAAATCGTTGTTAGCTGACAGAACGATTCAATCAGACAAGACTCGCCAACGCTCGACCAGACAAAAATAGATTTAACAGTTTCACTGATTTCAAAATTGCTCTCGATGCAATTTCATTTAACGTGCAAATGTCACATTTTTTAAGTATAATTCATACACAGCTGGTTCGCAATTTATTAAGATAGAATTCATTTTCAATTTGTCCACGGTTTCATGCTCGAGCTCGCGTCGAAAATATTTTGATAATCGATATTTCCGAACGCAAAGGCAATTCCATTAGGTCCTGCAAGATTCTTCTGAAACGGTACTCTCTTAACGGAAACATGGTTGATTTCCCACTTTCCACCGGTGATCCTCGGCTCTTTGAACGTTCTCCGTGGCCTCGTTCGATCGACTCGGCTTCTCTGAAGCAACACCCCTTGTTTCTCGTGCTTCCGCCGGTGCACAAGACATAGATGAATTCATCTTTTATTCACGTCCTTCGTCAGCGGTGGATCTACCGTCGGTGGTATACTCGCTTTCTGACAGAGGTGGACGCTAGCACTTTACATAAGTGTCTGTCGGTTCGCCGAGCTATCTTCTTTGCTCTCTATGAGAATACTTTACATTCGTAATGTGTATCAGGCCGGCTAATAATGCCGCGACGCTTTATTTATTCTTTTACCACTGCGAAATATTTCCCTTGAACATATCCAAGTGTCGTTTGCGTTAAAAATAAACTGGCAAACGATACCATAAGTGGAAAGGAATAGAGAGTATAATGGATTAAGCTACTACTTGTTTCCCCTATCGAACGCAAAATGGAATTGTACATATGTACGGATATTTGTGAATAAAAATTCGTGAAAAATCTGCTCGACTTGATCCGTTTTATAAAGAAATCGTTTGTCGCCCACGACGTCGAGTAGAATTCGATTCCGACATCCGACTTTCGTCGCGCGACGAATATCGGGAGAGAAGGGGCAGACAGAGAGCGAGGGACTTTCCTAGTTCCTCGACGGTTCGTGTACACAACCTAGATTTTCTGTCATTTCTTTTCTTCGCAGCCCCCCGTTTTTTCCCGAGGAAACTTAAACGGAGCACCTGCCACCGGTATCGGTTTAACGGTGGAACTCGTAAAGTATTCTAAAATATTCTTAGGCATCTACTGAGGAAGGCGAGAGGAATACGTTTCGGGAAAATAAAAAAAAACCGGTCCAGGTACATGCAGGAAAGATACGAAGGGAGGAATCGGTCCGACAGGGGAAAATATGAGACTCGAAATTCGAATCAATCGTCAATGTCAAAATAGATTTTTTTTACATCCGTGTATAACTAACGCTAGGCTGTGGAATTCTCATCTCTTTAAGTCCGAATTGATTTTATATAAAACTGCGAGGATCAAGTCGAATTGATACCTAAAATGCAAATACCCCGAATAGAGTATCGATTGATCAATAACGAGACGCTATTTAGAAAAGTACCGCGTAAAGTGGCGAATGCTTCTCGGGGCTTTCTGGACACTTAAAGTGATACATCGATTTGAAGAATTTCGCGTAGAATCCACGAAGAAATATAACGGTGTGAGAGGGAGACGACAGGAAAGGGGATTACGTCGGGGTGTGAGACGCAATTTGTCTAAAAGTTCAGGAAGGAAGAAAGAAAATTAGCGAGAGCTATTTGTTATCGAGGTGGCAATAATGCCCGTGCCGCCTTCCGCAAGTTTAAGTCTCGGTAATAATTAAACTCGGCGGCGACGGGTTACTGTGACCGGCGGTGAAAGCTCGCCGTGTAAAGGGCGCATCTGTACTCGGAATAAAGAACGCGAAGTCCTGTAGCGAGCGCGACCTGCTTTCCGCGTTCGGTTTCAGCCTCCTCGCACAATGCCGGCCAGACAGTGGATATTAAAATAAAGCTGAAAACCCCACTCGGTCGCGGTTTCACGCGTCTGTGCACCGGACCGGTCATATCCACTGAAAATTTGCGAGCGTGTACATATTTCGCCGCCGTGCGACATCGAATAAAAGGAAGCACGCGTTACGTATGTACGTTACCGGACAAAAGCGAACAAGTTACGAGGCAAAGTGCACGGCAAACTGGCACAATTTTTCACGATCCAGGAGGATAATGCAAACATGTGTCGAATGTTATAAAACCAGTACGATCGCGATTCCATAAAACCGTGTTCATTCCTCCTCATGGTCTTTATGCGTGTATCACGCTTTTCATAATACCGTACTCTACCTACGTATCCACATTTATTTCAACGAATAATCAATAGACGAAAGTGGGAGAGCCTGTTTGAAATTCATTTTTCAAACCGTCCGATCGCTGTATTGAACTTGCGCGTTAAGAAAAGTAAGAATCGTATTACCGTCGATGTTTCGTTTATCTAACCGTGAGTACATTGGTAAGGTAGTACGGAATTTGAATTCGGAAAACAAGAGCTGCAGCAAGTTTCGTCGAAATCAAACTTAAAGAACTCTGTACCTGTTTTTCTTCGAAACCTATCTGGTAACTCTGCCTCGTTCCGATATTTGTCTTTCGTCCGTTCCAGAAAATAAACCGTTACCCCTGTACGACGTATTAATACCACGAAGGAGAGAGCGAGTGGAAAGCATTTTAACGCGAAAGGTAGAAAATCGTGATATTTTTTCCCGGTGCAACGTTGTGAAAAATATTCGAGAATCGATAGATAGGAACGGCGTGTGAAAATAACGGCGCGTGAAAAGCGGAGGGAAGATGGGATCGTGTTTGCTGCGAGAGGGGAAGTATCTCGCGAATGTAAAGCGATCGCGTAGGTGTACGTAAACTGGGTCTACGTGTACATATATATATATATATGTATATATATAGTGTATGCTCGGCCGGTCTCGCCTCCGGCGCGGCGTTGTTGCGTATCGGCATGAAACTAATTTCGGCCCCCATGTGAATTACATCACGCCAGAAGGGACGTGTAACTTGGAAATACTTTTCTGGGTCAAACGCCTCCGAGGTAACTCGTATTACGTAAGGACATTTACGGTTCCAGCCCCGGGATCGGTGATTTTGCACGGGAGGATCGCCGTGCTGCCACTCTGCGCGAGGACTTCTCTGACGGGACCCTTGATCGCGGCGGCATCCTCGCTTCTGTCATCGGACGCTTTCAACGGCACCACTTCGTTCTCGGCGCTCGACGACTGCTGATGCTCCGCCTGACTCCCTGCAACAGAAACCGAAATGCCACATGATTTAAATCCTTAAACACACAAAGCATTCTTATCTTGAAACACCGTGATTACAATTTAAGCCTTGAAGAGGCTCGAGCGAACTTGAGAAAAATGCATTTCTACGAGCTCACTGATTAAAAGCCGAGTGGGGCTGAAACTGTGAAGCTTGAAAGGTGAAAGGCCTAGGAAAAGCAACGATCGGAAATTAAGGGCGGTTTTCACACCCAGCGTCGTTGGCAAAGATACAATAGCGTCAGCGGGAGAGGCATATCTGGGGCCGGCTGTGAGCGAGGGAAACGAAATTCTCTCTCTCTCTCTTTCTCTCGCTCGCTCGCTCGCTTCGAGATTAATGCAACCACCGTTGGTACGATAACGCATAACCCCGGTGCAGGGTAAGTGGCTTAAGTGAATAACTTAGTCACGACAATTACGAAGCATTGCCTCGCGTTTGCAGCGGGCGAGCTATTACAAATCTACTGGGTTTTCGTGGGAATTCACTTCGAAAACACTCACCGGGCCTTACGCGGCTTCTTTGTGTTATTTAATGCCCTCCTTGTTTACAGATCTAATTGTACAGGAACGTAACGAATATTATTCTAGCTTAGAGATTTTTTACCGTCTCAGCGGTGCATCTAAAGGTGTTACGAGGCTTATAATTATTGACAACTAATAATCGAAGTATCCTGAACGTAATTCCATTTAATTAATAATCACTGTTCAATGAGCGATTATCCATCTTTCCCTAATTCGGAAATGTTCCGACCAATCGCGCAAATTCACGATGAGATCTCGTAACGTGCGACGAGTCCTTTCGCATACCGACCTCGATCGCTCAAGGATTTCGATCTCCTATCTTCAGTTGAGTGACACAGAACTATATATGAAAACCACTAATTATTGGTTAGACGTCTTATCAAAGTTTCTATACTAATTGCACTGGACGAGAACACGTGGCGACGTGCATAGAATAAATCCTCTTCGTCAACGTCCGATCAAGTTGTTCTAGATATCCAACCCTTATGATCAGGTTGTACCAGCCTCTAAGAATCTAATCATCTACAATCACTCCAGGCACAGATCACACAAATTCATTGTGTGTGCTTCGTCCTGTGGATTATTTTCTTGTTTCACAGAATCCTGTGGATGTCATAAGCACGGGTCATGTCTACAAGTGTACATACATCGAAGCATCTATGTACATCTCGCCTGTGTCGTAGGGCACGGATATATCGAACACGTCATTGTGTCTCCAATAGTATCGATGAACGTTAAAGAAAGATCCGTATCGCCACCCGACAGCTGATTGACAATCCTAATTCCTCTGTGACCCGAATGACGAAATTGGGATCGGTTATCGGAGTGGAACGTGTTAAAACGCAGTAAGACGTCCTCGGCTACACACGTGATATCCACTTTGCCGCATATAATAAGATTCCCGTAGATGCACAGAGACGTATAACGAGCCTCTATTTAAACGGCGTACTCGACTCGGTGTACACGACGAAAACGTCGGCAATTAGCTCTCGTTACCCTAGCTCGGAGGCTCGTTCGACGGTTCGTTAAACCTGACCCGTTTTCACGCGGCCCGCGGATCGTCCCGGGGCGAGGCAGCCGACTATCCCGAAGACTCGGGGGAAAGGAGATCTCGTCACGTGGCAGGCCTGAAATCGCGTGGCACACGCGGAAACGGCACGTGTGCACGCGATCGTATATACCTATACGTGGACGTTGATCCAACGCGGCCGCCTTTCTTAACCGTGGCTGGTTCGTTCTTTCTTCCGACAGGCTCGGCCTAGATTCGCGGCTCCCCCGGAAGTCGCCCGCGATTTATTGCGTTTTTATTGCCGCCACCCACCGGCGTCCAACCTTATAATTTTCCACGACTCCGCGGCCACGTCACCGCCGTGGCTAATTGAAAAGTACACTCGTTAACGTCTCTTTCTACGTCTGACCCCCATCGATCTCGCGCGTGACGTTTCTCATAACAGAAGTCAGCGCCAAATCAATTTGCATCGCTCCATTAGAGCGGTGATTCATTCTGACGGACCGACAAAACATATTTCAGCAATTTCTTTCCTGCACGACTTTATTATTATCGAAACTGAAATGCTGCTCACTGATTACCGAACATTTATAGAGTTTTTTTTAAATATATTACACAGTTTTTCTCTCACGTCCAAGGATTTATTTCTTTTGTTTATTAAAATACGATAAAACATTCCTAAAAATTTGATTTCCTTAAATCCTCGTTATCGGTAATAATGAAAGACTAGATATCAATCTTGCGTTTTTTTTTATCGTTTAAACAACGCGAGAACGATTTGTCCAGCAGCTTCTGTCCACAGCAGCGGTAGAAATAAACTAGCGAACACACGGCATACTAGTAATTATCGTTATTACGGGCGCGCGAGGGTGAAATGTTTTTCCAAACTACTTTTCCAGGAACCACGCGGCCAACGACAATGGTACTTAACGCCGCGTTATTTTACGCAGAACATAGAACGTTACCGTCCAGGCTCCCGTTCCCAGCGCCGCTTTGTCGTCTGTCATTATCGTCTTTTTATGTCGCGTACGACGATAACGATAAACACCATCACGCGGAATGCGCAACACCGTAATTGCACGGGTAAGTGGATAATACGGGTGAAACTCAATGGGGGAAAATGGAAATTAGTTCTTACCCCGATCGATGAGCTCTGATAACACCAAATCCAGCTTACGTATCGACGATAACTTCAAGCAAAATCTAATCGCGAATATTTTACAATCCTGAAGGATGTATAGGCTGTACACTTAAACAATGCTAATAAAAAGCAACCTGCAAAATTTTAAATCAATTCATGGGTTTTTTGAAAAATGATAGTGACTTAAAATTTGCATTCATCTTACAGTAATCACTCAAAGAAAACTTTCTGGTATTTGGTGTGCATGCGCCAAGTTGGACGAAATAACTGACTTGAGATAATACGAGCCTAAAAAGTATGGAATTTCTTACGTTTTTTAGAATGTATTACGATGTTTATCGATATTTTGACAAAAAAAATTTTTTTTATTTTTCCGAGATTTTTCCAAGCGGTACCCCTTCAGATTTCGCAAAATTTTCATTTTTTGGCCATAACTTCCAAACGCGTGGACACAAGGGGACGTTTATTGGTCCATTTTGTAGAGGACGACGAGATCTACAATCTCTATCTAACAGTTTCTCGCTAGCATTAATAGTTTACGAGTAATTTGCAAAAAACTGTTTTTCTGTTTTTCGCCAATAACTTCCGAACGGGTGGAGATAGGGTGACGTGTTTAGATCCATTTTGTAGAGGACGACGAGATCTACAATCTCTATCTAACAGTTTCTCGCTAGCATTAATAGTTTACGAGTAATTTGCAAAAAACAGTTTTTCGTTCTTCGTCTATAACTCGTTAACCATTGACACTAGCGAATTCTTTTTGCACAGAAATTGTAGCTCTCGTCGTCCCCTACAGAATGGTTCTAAATACGCCCCCCTACGTCCATCCATTCGGGAGTTATTGAGGAAAAACGAAAAGTCTTTTTAAAAGTTCGCTATTTCGACGGGCGAATTGAAGAATCTGAAGGCGAATTCGCCCGTCGAAATAGCGAACTTTTAAAAAGACTTTTCGTTTTTCCTCAATAACTCCCGAACGGATGCACGTAGGAGGGCGTATTTAGAACCATTCTGTAGGGGACGACGAGAGCTACAATTTCTGTGCAAAAAGAATTCGCTAGTGCCAATCGTTAACGAGTTATTTGCAAAAAACTGTTTTTCTGTTTTTCGCCAATAACTTCCGAACGGGTGGAGATAGGGTGACGTGTTTAGATCCATTTTGTAGAGGACGACGAGATCTACAATCTCTATCTAACAGTTTCTCGCTAGCATTAATAGTTTACGAGTAATTTGCAAAAAACAGTTTTTCGTTCTTCGTCTATAACTCGTTAACCATTGACACTAGCGAATTCTTTTTGCACAGAAATTGTAGCTCTCGTCGTCCCCTACAGAATGGTTCTAAATACGCCTCCCTACGTCCATCCGTTCGAGAGTTATTGAGCAAAAAGGAAAAGTATTGTCCAAAGTTCGCTAATTCGACGGTGGAATGGTCGGATTTTGTCAATGCCAATAAAATGCCATATAATCATACTTAACTTGTTAAATATTGAAATTAGAAGAGAAATTCATAGAATTTTTCTCTTAGAAGACGCCCACAATTTCTATATACCAGTTTTTTCGCCGGTGTCAATAATTAATTGGATATTTCCTTCTATACTTTTTAGCAAGTAGCTATGTATTATTAGGTTTGTTTTTCCGACGTCTGATTTCTTTTTAATTATAGGAAATGCGTTTTTCTAAGGTACGTAAACTTTTGGGATTGACTATATAGCCAGTACATCCTTAAATCTTCGCAAACGTCTCCCGTCGTTAATATACTATCGCGAAGAGTATGCTAAAACCATGCGCATACTTTCTGCAGCAAAGAGCTTCGCAACGAGCACAAGAGATTACGGAACTATTAAATTTATCGGTCGTCAAATAAGCTTAAATCGTTGCCAGTCAGCTTGCGAAACGAATACAAATCGGTTCGATGATAAAAAGTGTGTCCTCTTATTTGATCGATTAAATACGATCTCCTATATAAGTAGGACCTTATCAAAACTGAATTTCAGGGAAAGTTGGACAATTTTGAAACTCTGGTACTTGGCGTTCGACTTTGTTTTAATTAAGTCCCAATTTAAAGTTCTTGTCACGGACGATAAAATCTGTTTTACAGTCGATCATTCGGCAGAGTCTTAACGTAAAAATCGATTTCGACTGAGATTCTCCGCGGGACAATGACTTCGCCCATCGGCGAACGAATGGCTCACGACCATCCGGAAGTTTCTGCCAGCGCTAACGAGCCGAAAGTTTGTGCGGTCATCAAGAACACGATAACCGGATATTACTTGTCAGCTATCAACCGGTACAGCGAATTAAGTGTTTTCTGTGTCAGCACGAAAATGACTCGGTGAAACGCGAGCGCGGCTGGCTTTTCCGTTGTGTAAGCACACATCGAACGCCGATTATGACAATGAAATATTGCGTATGAAACAGACCATCTGGAATGAAATATTCCAAACCCTTAAGGATCGTAGCTGTGTCGATGCGATTTCGGTTTGTTGGATTATGCGAGCAGTGGAATAACTGTGGTAATTCCAAGTTGTACTAGGTTGACTTATGATGGGATTTTTAAGATTCAAAAAGCAGTATTCTCTGCTAATCCTGTTGTCATGAATAAGGCAAACTCGGGGAAAGTGCAATGTAAGGGAGTGGAGGTGGTTGTGACTAAGGGTTGGATAAGATTCTATATGGCTAAAATATACAATCTTTTCTTATGATTTAGAGTACACAATCTAAATTTGTAATTGTTTTTGTATTGTAAATTCTATTTGTGATTGTAAAATTATGATTAGATGTAAGATATATAAATTGTGATTATAAAATCTAAACTAATTGTTAGATTGATAGAATTTCCCTTAAGTGTTAACACGTTCTTATATGGCCATTTATTAAATACATAATACAAAGATTTTTCTACAATAATGTAATTTTGTGATGCTTACCGGTGAAGTGGAGATTTACTGCGAGGAAGATGTTGGCGAGGATCAGGTGCACTTTCATTGTGACGACTGACTTGTGATCCTCGCTTCAGACGTTCATCGCGTTCCACTGGAACAGAAACGGAAGAATAAGTTAATAAAATATTTGATACAGTGACGCAGAACGTGACACGCCTATTGTTTCACCGACGGTGGGATGTACATGTTGTACGCGGTAAAGCTCTGCAATCGATATCGGTTTAAGTAGAGGGTTGCGACCCTTCGACTTCCCTCGTGCCACCGTAACCTATCGCTATAAGTGGCCCACCTTTGTCAAGCATTTTCGACAGGAATAAGTGGAGAACGGAAAAATGGATCACGAAAACTTCTCGCGGGAAGAGTCCTCCACCACGTGCCGCGACACGATGGGCTCCAAATATTTTTACGCGAGATTCTCTCCGGATACTTTCGTGATTTCACAGATTTATCTCAATGCTCGTTGTAATCAGTAATTAGTCCAAATAAATTGATGAAAAATCATCGAAATCGTGAGGCCCATTTTCAACAGATTTACTAGTAAATTTATTATATTTGCTGTTTTTCTATTTATCGATCCCTCACATCCTCAGAAACAGAGATCATTAAATCTTCGTAATATACAGACAGTGGAAGGAAGGAAGGAAAGGCTAGAAGGTATATGTATACTTGTTTAAATCGGCTTATTGTTAATGTCCTCAGCCACGCTCACCGTCGCTCCGCGTCGTTCGTCCATTCGTTATCAGGCAACTTGCCCGACTCGCATATTTTGTACATACGCGGCAGAATTTAAATTCCTGTGCGACGATCTTGCCGAGGCGAGAGGTACATCTCGCGGAGAACTGATTACACAAACTTTCGCGGACGATGTTCGTATCAGTATGTAAATAAACGGCGGTGGCCATCACCGTGAAACCATATGATGAGATCATTACCATGAGCCTCGTTCGTTCCTTCCTTCCTACCCTACGCTGCAATCTACGCGACAGCTACCGATGCATACGCGTATCCTCTGTAAGCTCTGCACATTTTATTCGCCGAGATAAATTTCACCCCGGCGACGATTCGGTGTCTCGAGATAGAAACGACGTGACGTTGAGCAAAAATTTTGACCGTTTAGAGAGGTAAAAGCAATGGGACGGAGAGAGAGAGAGAGAGGGAGAGGGATGGGAGAGTGTTTTGCGAGCGCGTTGAAAGGACGTTAGGCTTCATTGTTAAAGTTATTACAGGCAGAGGCAGAATCGGGCACGGAGAGAATTCAACGTGCATTTATGCATGCACATATACGTAGGATGTATGCGCGAAACGCAGCGACCAGAAATAATGACACGCCGTGCGGTGTCCAAAAGTTCTCGCAGAGATCGTCGGTGCCGCGGTGCACAGCTTGCGGAACGTTTGAATGGTCAAGTGTGGGTAAACACGGGAATAAATTGAAACGGGAATGTATACGCGGTCTGGCTACTCTCGCTGGAACCACCGCGACGATGTAAACGCTGATAAACCGGCGATATTTTATTTTCCGCTCCCTCCGCCCCCCCGCTCGCGCGATATAGACGTAAAATATTTTTCTCTTTCCGCGGAGTTATCGAATATTGCACGGTCCTTTTGTGCACGCGAAACGTCCAAAGGACGACCATTCTTTACGCAAAAAATCTGATTGGGACACGCGGACATGCTCCTAGCTGTTGTCTTTTTTCTTTGAATTCTTTATTTATCACCGCAGCTTCTGCGTTTCCAAAAAGAAAATGCTTCATCGATGAACCTCGCGTGTATCTCCGCGCGAGATAAGAGGAAAGCGAAACGTTGGTAGATACAATCGAGGGTGTGAAAATTCGGCGCGAATCAATGCTCGCGTACATGGCCCACATGCACGGTTAATAAATCGATGCCGAATTTCAATAGATGCACCCGACGCCACCCCGCGAACTCTACGTATTACAACTGGCGGCGTGCGTTTTTCGCCTATCGGAAATTCATCGGATTTTTGCGGATCCGCTGTTTGCGCGTGCGTTAATAATGCTCGCGTAATTTGCTCCTGGTAATTGGATAAACGAGCGGTCGCGTTAAGGATGTGTTGGCTATACAGTCAATCCCAAAAGTTTATGTACTTTAGAAAAACGCACTTCCTATAATTAAAAAGAAATCAGACGTCGGAAGAACAATACTAATAATAAATAGCTACGTGCTAAAAAGTAT